CGTTTTACGAGATACTATAGGCCAGCGATCTAAATGATCTGTTTTCTTGGGTTTTCCAACTCCCACGTTGGTTTCAAGAAAATCACCATTGAAAAGAATCTCCCAGCCTCCTCAAATTGACTGAATTTATTAACAATGACTTAGGCACATTTTATAATATATAAGCGTTTGTTCCCGACAGCCATCATGGTTATATCTGGTGTCGTTGTCTAAGGCCTCGCTGTCTCATAGTCATTTACCCCTTGCAGAGAACCATTTGCAGCTTGAACACACCTACGTCCACGTAGCCTCGCAGTTGCCTATGCAGCCAATTGAATGCGCCTCCTCCATCCAGCAAATGTGATTATGTAGCCGCACCTGATGAACACGATACTGTTGACCTCTTTATTATTTTGATTTGGTGTTATCACGTCGACATGGTGTTGGTGTGCATATCGGTGTGTGTTCTGTTGGCGGACTTGTTCCTCTGTTGCAGTGTCTACATCCTTTGACCCAATGCCGGTGGTCCTTCTTGACTTTCAACCTGTCGTCTTCTTCTAACTTTGGCGTTGGGTGTTTTAGGGCTAGAGCCCAGGGCTGCGCTTAAGGGTTAGGGGTTAGGGCTAGGGCTTAGGGTTAGGGCAACTACTTCTCAACCACTCAAATTACAACCAAGCATTCCCAGTAGCTTTTTGGCACACAATTACTTGACCTATTCGACTTTTCGTTACCGCTTCCACCCGTAAACCTCCCTATTCCCACCGGTCCCGTATCACAGGTGGCTGGCGTTTGTTTACCTCAGGTGCGGCTACGCAACCACATATGACCGAAATTTCTGTTATCCCTCAATTCATGATCAGTTCGTCTCCGTTTTTGTTTCTCCATTCTTGGGTACAATTGCTAGTCATCAGTACTGAACTAGATTTTACACGTGCATATTGCAGCACACGATCTACAGTCTACCGACTGCCACTGTCTCTCGTGATGGGTTCAAGTGAGAATCCGAAACGTCAGGCGAATAAAGCCCTTGTTCCAGCGACCGCTTCTTCTTCTTCTGATCAACCAGTTCCTGGAACTCGCATCTTCGCTTCTATCGACAGTCTACCGAGAGCCAACTGGGGTCCTTAACGCTACCGCTGTTGGAGGGAAAACAAATGAAAAAACTGGACCGTAATCAAAAAAGTGTCTGGCTTAATTTTGTACATATATTTGCCCCATAGTCGGCCTAGTTTAGGTTTTTACAGTTGTTTGTTCGAGTAAGTATAGGAAAGCACGCGAAAAGCCAAACCTCGCACAGTGTTAACGGTACATCATACTCTCCAAAATAATGAAGGTTGATTTAAACTGCATTCCTTTATGAGTGAGCTACACTGACTACAAACTGCGTCTCGTAGCTCTCGTCGCAGATACGGGGCTGGTAACGTCTGAAAAGTCACCCCAAAATCAGAACGGTCGAAACTATGCAAAAGTTGCTACTCGAAAATCCCGAAATCCTGCGTGATTACTTTCTTGTCACTATAAGAAGCCCTTGAGAGCTCGAGATTAAAGCTTCAAGCATAAACTGGACACGGGAATACTCTCTCTGTCTCTTGCTATCAAATGGATGAAACATCGCTTCCGCGCGATTTATAGTGTCCCTGCCGATGGCTTCCAAGTCCGCGGTTCAGGCAGTAAGACTGTCGAGTTCAAATGCTCGATGACCAACTGGGTCCTTGCTTTGTTTGCCGGTATGGGACGGCTGGTATGACTAGCGGATGACGGCAAACACGCCGGAGGTGGGCGTTCCGTCTCCCCCATTTTTTCGGCATGTTTGGGGGAGAGTATGCCTACACACCTGACCACCCCCCTATTGCTCACGTACACATCAGAGGTGTTGAACACAATGTAAGGGAATTACAATGTCATTTGGGAGGGGGGGGGGGTTAGTTACAAATAAAAACTTATGCTCATAGATTACGTAGTTAGAAAAGTTCAGCATATGTCTATCGAGGTGGTGTCTGAAGGTTTCCACAGACTGGCCCAGGACAGTCGTCTCAGGCAGACGAAAAGCTCCCACTCGCGTGTAGTTTAGGACGATGCCTGTGGATACATGAACCTGAAGACGGTTGTCGAAAGTACGTTTGCTCAAATTTTATCTGAAGAACTGAAAGCCGGTAGACGTACGTTTTTGATTATTCATAATCCGGTCAGTATAGTGGCAGTTGGACCATTGTTTCCGACGATGTCCACCGTGTGCACCACAGCAGGGTTGGAGCAGAAACAGTAGATTGAGGGTGATTTTGTCTACAGTGATAGTAGACTTGCGCAGCGCCTACCGCACTCCCTCCTCCCTCAAACCCACCTGTGCCTGGTATCACGAAAGAGTCAAGAAGACCGGAGGCGAGAGAGGGTGGAGGTGGCTGGCACGGCCGGATCTGGGCCTAGGCGCGTCACCACACCCCTGATCCACCACGTACACTGACCAGGATTTTTCACAGCCAGAAAAAAGGGAGAGGCTCGGATTCCAGTTAAATGGAAGCCACACTAAGAAGGAGCCCTCGCAACCTGTCTCTCTGTCCTCCCAGTAGGATAGAGTTACCCCGTCAGTGGGGAGTCTTCAAAGCCACAGCTTATATTGCACTGTGATAGATTCAGTACAATAATGTGTACGTTATAGTAGCACCGCGAATGTTAAATGGGGAGGGTGACTGAAGGTGTCTATATATGTTCGAACACGGGAGAAGTTACAACAGCCTACTTCTGTTAGGACGACACAGAAAAGAGGCACCTCCTTCCGGTGATAGTGGGTCACGCAATCCATTCGGTGTTCGTCGACGACATAACGTCTCCGAAATCCTGTCTGGCGGTCAGCAGAACTGTCGAGGGGTACGATCAGGGCAGACTCAGCAACGAGACTGTGTTCGACCATGATGAATATTCAGAAAAGGAACATATAACGGACGACGGTTGATAAGGCCCTGGCTGAGATCACGACACACTGGCTGAACTGGTTCATGATGCTGTAAAATTCGAAGCCCACTAAATTAACACTGGCGGGTAGCTGCTGCGTGACAAGCCAACTGTCAAGGTCACGGAAGCATGTTTAGATCTCCTATGTGCTGAATGGTCACCCTGAGGCCCACGGTATTACCCCCCGTACCAAATACCCCGCCGTGTCACATAGGACTCTCTGCCTGTGATGTCTGCCGTGCCTACGAACAGTCTTCCGTTTTGCATGCACAACAGACGTGATGATTCAACGCACGCAGCTGTCAAGTGTACTTAATGTAAATAAAAATCGGCAGTATAAAGCCCTTGGCCCGCCGTACCTAGATGAAGTCTTAGTAGCCGGGTGAGTTGAGAAATGATGGATTGTTTGTGGTAGACGTTAAATGTCGATTTTGACTGTTCCTTCCTGACTCTCCATTCAGCGAAAAAATCGATATTTTCCCTAACAAAAGACGGCGTATCAGCAGTTGTGAGCACAGAGAGGTCTCCGAGCTAGATAAGAATAGGTTTATTGTAGCGCCCCTTGGGCACTGTCAGTCCCCTTTGAACTCAGGAAAAAAACCTAAAACAAACTCGTCAATTACAACTGCACTTTGACTTCATTTGCTTCGGGTGTCTGGTTAGCCAAAAGAGCGCGAATTGAGAGTTTGTTTTAAGTTAAAAAAAACCTCAGTTCTAAGGGAAAATGGTAACAAAATTTTCAAAAAATAAAGATATGTACAATATAAAAATTGAAGTTTGCAGTTTGGTAGTTTTCGGGGGCATGAATAATATGTCCTTCATGGCAATTGAAGAACTTTGATATCGGCCTGACCTTGAACTTATTTTCACAGATGTCTGGATTCCGGCACACTGCTCAGCAGTATTCATGCGTTGCAGACCAAAGCCCGCCGAAACGACAACATTTAGACTCTCTGCTATATCGAATGGGCTGATGCCACTTATCGCTTCTATGAACCACCCATCTACAAGCATGTGAAGATATTGATTTTGCAGTCAAGTCTAATACTCCGTCAAGTTTCCTGACGAGATCGACACGATCTTCTCGGCGTGGCGACAGTGAAAGGATACCCCGTTCTAACTGAATGCTTGCGCTGCGTTTGACTCGACCCTTGGCTTGGAAGTACAGCGACGCCGATCGATATTTTGATCTTCATTTATTGGTCGCAGTCGGACAAGTTTGGGCGCGCGAATGCATCTCGAGTCGGGACTGACAACTTTACCAGCTGGCTCTCGAAATGCTGGGACAGTTGCCGTCACTTCTTTCTGAGCTTTGCTGCTGCATAGATGATTATCAATAAGGGAAGAAGAAGAAGAAGAAGAGTCGAGCACTGGAACGCTGTGTTTATTGCCCTGAGCTTTCAGACTCGTACAGGAGTCCATCGTCAGAGGTAGCAGCAGCAGCAGCAGAACAAACAACAGTTATACGGCACGTAGGCCAATCATCGACCAACGTCGCACGACTGGAGGTGAATACGCAGGGCTATGTACACCGGCGCCAGATCGATAAATCGATTGACCGAGTTCTCATCAGAGGCCCAGGCTTCAATCAATTCTCAGCCTGTTTTGTTTTCGGCGTGGGCGACTATTTTGGTGGCTGCAAAGTTAAACTCGTGACCCATTTCGAAGGTATGGGCGACCACTTGTGATAATGCGTCGCCTCGCCGGACAGCCAGCTTATGTTCGTGTATGCGCGATCCGAGCATGCGTCCAGTCTGCCCTGTGTAGTTACAAGGACAATTTTGACACGGAATGCGATGCACTACTCCAGATTGCTCTTCAGGTTTTAACCGGTCTTTGATTTTCATGACCCTGCTGCGCATGGTGGCTTTGGGGCGGTGGGCAATTCCAACACCTAGCTCCGCAACAATGCGCTCGGTCGCTTCTGAAACGCCCTTGATGTATGGCAGAGAATGCCATATCTTCGGTGGCGTTGATGTTCGAGTTCTCTGGTGGCGACCGCGTAGGCAGCAACTTATGAATGCCCTAGGATAGCCATTTTGCACAAACTGGTCGCGGAGATAACGGGCCTCATGTGCTCTGTCCTCCGGTTTGTTGCAATGAGTTTGGATGCGTTTGAAGAGCGTCTTCACACAGCTTCGTTTGTGAGCCACCGGATGGTTGCTGTGAAAACTGAGAAGCTATGTGGTGTTCGTTGCCTTCATATAAACCGTCGTTTCAAGTTCACCGTTAAGGTTTCGTCTAACAAGCACATCCAGGAAGGGCAACTGCTGTTCCAGTTCTTCTTCCCTCGTGAATTTTATATCAGGAAAGACTGCGGTGAACAGGCTGTGGAAATTTTGCAGCATATCCTTCTTTACGATGACGAACGTGTCGTCTACGTAACGGCGCAAAAAAACACCGGTTCATGTTGGATGAAGGCCATCTTTTCTAACTCCTGTAGGACCAGTTCTGCCACTAAACCGGAGACAGGTGAGCCCATTGGGATTCTCTTGATTTGTTCATAGGTCTCTCCCGCAAAAGTGATGAAAGTTTTTTGGCAGAATTCAAACAGCCTCATGAGATGTTCAATTTGGAGTGTATTCTGCGTCTCATCGTATGCCTCTTCAAGTCTCTTGCGCAAGACTTCGCGGGCCACCTTTGGTGGGATGGAGTGAATAACGATGTCACATCGAAGGAGACCATGATTTAGTCTGACTAAATCCTCCGCTCTCGGAGGTCTATGAGAAACTGAGAGGCTGATCGAACTGAAGTAGTCGAATTGCCTTGGAGGAACTTCAGTTTTGAGTACATCCACTTTGCCAAATTGTAGGTGGGGCTGCCTTTTAGGGCAACGATTGGCCGTAGTGGGACATTTGCTTTATGGATTTTTGGCAGACCATAGAATCGAGCTAGAGCGGTGTCAGTTGCCCTTATTTGGTGCCATTCATTCTCCGTGATCACATTTTTATGTCGGTATTCCCTAAGCAGTTTACTCAGCCGATCTGCCACTGCTTTGGCTTGTGACTTCTGTGCTAGTCAGTAGAATTCCCCGTCATCAAGAAGGGCTTTAGCCTTTTCATTATAGTCTTCCCGATTCGTGACGACGGTTGATCGTCCCTTGTCAGCAGGTAGAATGATAATGCTGTCGTCTCTCCTCAGTTCCCTCATAGCCTTTGACTCACTCTGCGAAATACATTTGGTTGGTCTGTGTGTCATAAGCAAGGTGGTAACACGCTGTCGGACGGAGTGCTTCATGTTGTCGGATGTTTCACTTCTCACAAGCATAGCTTCCAGGGCTGCAATGAAGTCGACAGGATCGGCATCTGCAGTGATTATCCGACCAATTCTCTCTGTTGGCTTGGAAGGCTGCCAATCGAAGGGATAACTCGGACCTCGCGGTCGGTACTGGCTGGATAACTGAGAATCGGACTAAAAGGCTCCCTCCTGGTGTGGCCTGTATGAAAGTTTTGCTAATAGAAGAATCGGATTTCAAATGCAATTGCCGTCAAGGTGGCATATAATGTATTTAGGGAAGGCGGTCCGGACATCTTTTCTAATCGACAATACTTGCCTTCATTTAGCTGGCCGGAGGACTGTCCGCGAACAATAATCACTCCACTGTGGGGCAATCCTTAAATGCCATTCATAGTATTGACCAAAAATAGATCCAAATTGTCTGCCTGCATCGGCCAGAGCAAGTGCGTGGCTGAAATCGGGACTAGAGTGTACAAATGTTTCGCGATGGACACTTATGTCGAGGTGATATGGTCGGCAACACAAAGATTCCCAAATCAGAGGCCAGGGAGAGCAAATTGGGTTGGATAGCATTTACTGATGAGAAAGAGCACACAGGAGGCCTTGCAAGCAGTTTCCGCAAGCTGTCTCTCCAGGTATGGTGTATGGTCTGCGTCCGCCGCCGCGCGTGTGCGCCTTTGCTCGGTCTCAATTAGTGTCCGCCAGTCAACCAGAGAAGGAGCAGAGCTGATTGGCTTTGAGCCCTCGCGAGGCTAGTGGCAAGCCCCGCACGGTCCTAACAGCAAGTCGGCAAGGAGTGTGAGGCGGACAGAAAGGCTGCGCGACAAAGCGGCGGTGACAAGGTGAGCGGACTGCCAAACTCGTGCCCAAACGTTGCATTCGATTCTCCGTTCCCTCTAGACACAGTCACATAGATTGGGTGCCTGATCGTGTGTGTGGCATGCGTAGGTGAACTGTATAACTTTATCAGCGCCTGAGTCCGCATCAACATCCGCTCTTCTCGGTCCTGTCTTTTCATCGGGTAAGGCGGATGAAGGGAAAGTACAGCAAAAGTTGTACTATGTGTGCTTCGGCGGTTTTTACTTATGCAGGAGCCATCCGGTCGATGCTCTGTCCTTTCTAGACCCAGTTATTCCTTTCAAGTCACCAAACCGCCATCCGGTAGAGGAGGAAGTCTGTTAGGTAACCGGGATGGTAGGTTGATTTAGGCATTGGAAGACTGGCTTTTTGAGTGAACCCATAACCACGAATGGCTGGAGTGATCCGAAAGAGCAGGATGAGTATCAAGGGATTCTGGTTTGCGTGATCATCGGACGGTTTTGTGATCCGTAAATTACATCTGATTCGTATTCTCGCCCATTTTGCAATATGAATGTGAATATTAAGCATCCACCGAAATGCGAAAGGAGTTTAACAGGTATGGCTTGAGTTAAGTAAGGTCGATCAGGTAGAATAAAAACCATAAAGGATCCAGTCTGAACTGCCTTGTATGATGGTGTATACGGCGTTCCCCCAAATGTGGCGAATTTCTTTGGACCAGTGAGTCACGGTTTCGACTAAGAAGACGACTCTGGGTATGGATATCGAAGAATGCCGTGGCGGAATGAATATCTCATCTGCCCAAAGTGATGGAAGTCCCGTTCATGTTTGGTCGGCTGTTTCGAATCCGTAACACCCAAATCCAAATTCGGATTCAAACTTGGAGTCTTGAGTCCTGAGGATCTACCATTGGGCCTTGGACCCCTTGTCTTGTCGGTTGTGATAGGCAATATCAACTTTGGTGGAAACATTAATTCCGCATGAAGGTGAAGTTATACAAGAGGGCAATTTGTACCTCCTCCCGCGGGTTCTGGTGAATCCCCTTTGAAGTAAAATTGAACAAAAGTACTCTGAGCCAGAAAAGCGGCGCTATATGCTTTTAACTGAATTGGCACTGCTCACCGAAGGGAGCGGGGGGGGGGTCAGAAGGGTTCATGTTTGGCCAACAGTGCAGTACTAAAAACCCTCACTTCCCGCGGACAGTCTGTAACCATTTGCCCCATTATTTACGCCCTCCCACACAACCCTTGGAGCAAGTACGTACACGTTAAATAAGGCTGCATCCCCTCTGCTGGGGGGCGGGCAATCTTTTGATTAAAGAAATCGCTAGCGGCGGTGGCGGCGGCGGCGGCGGCGGCGGCGGAGGAGGAGGAGGAGGAGGAGGAGGAGGAGGAGGAGATCAAAGGGCTGCCGCCAGAAGAGTGTTCTAGCTCTAGCGGGTCAGTGAACAGAGAGCTAAGGCTGCGCATGGCTTAGCCTGACAAAAATCTGCCGCCTTTCACATGCTGGCGGAGTTAAACCGGTTGTTTGGATGTCAGCCACTGGCATGTCCCACCGTGTGCTTGCTTAGCGAAAACATTAAACTGCGTGCCAGTCACGTCCACGCGCACAGACCGTTTAAAAGGATGTCTCCAGACACCCCGACATTGTACAGAGGTCAGATTAGATTTGCACGATTAGCTGTCTCACTCCACCCGCAAAATTAGGTCCGGAGCAGCGACATTTTCCAGTCTTCTGCCTCTAGAGGTGGCTGTTTTGGCGTCTAGCCTCCTCAACTTTAACCAGCTGATTAGAGCGAGTAAAATAGCCAGTGGGACCAAAAGGGCTGGAAACCTGCATGAAATGTGCCAATACTTACGTTGACTAGCTTGCCGTGTCACTACCAGTCACGGTAGCAGGTCTGTGAATTCTAAAGTGGGGCAGCAAAATCATAAAAAACCAAACCGCGCGCCAATGGCGACTAAAACTGCCGACAGACAACGCTGTTTTGTGGCCTTAAACACACCCCCACCGAAGCGCTCAAATGCAGGATGCACGAGAACACGTTGGAAGGTCATAAAATGTCCCTGGACCGGTGGTCCATTTTGCAAATAATTGTCGCAGAGTAGGGGAATTTAGATTTCCACTGCCTGTAGGCTGTAACCATAATTCGGTGAAATCCAAGCCTACCAAAACGTCTGAAATTGCTCTGGTGACTGGTTCAGGTGTATTTAACGAATGCAAACTCAGAAAACTCCCTCCGATGGAGTACAGACTCGTCTAACAATTTGGAAGAAAGGAAATATCAATCAGTATGCACTGGCACAGCTGAGACTGTTCTGGTGTTGAGCGCATGGTGGAGGTTCGGATAATCGGTGGTTTGATCCCATATCTGGCGAGTCCTCCGAATGCTCTCTTCTGTCGCCGGCGTTTCTTATGTTGAGTGCATGGGGAATATTGGGACAGTCGGTGGTTTGACCCCATACCTGGCAACCAGTCCGACTGCGACCCTCTCCTAGGCCTGAATCCTTTGATATCCTTCCCAACGAGACATCCTCTTTCAAGTATCTTGGTGTTACTTTATCATCAACTCTTCATTTTTCCATCCATATGGAGATCCTTTTCACTTAAGTTCGTGATCAGATGGGGTTTGATGGTCCCACCTGAACTAAACAAACCCCAATCACCTGTAATACGGGGGCGGTGGTAGTAGAGGTTTTTACAGGTGAGGCCGAGGAACGCACAGGAGATTAGGTCAAGCAGTTGTATACAAAAGAAAAACTATTGGGAAAGCGCGGTTGTACTTTAAGTGGTTGAGAAATAGTTGCCCTAACCCCTAAGCCTAACCCCCTGACGCCAATCCCTAACCATAATCCCCAACCCCAACATCTTACCAAGTTCGTAAACGTATTTACACATTCGTCGTTTACGATCCTACCACAGACCTCAACTCTTGATTTGGCGGTTTACAGATGCCTGCATACTGCCTCTTATTCCTTATTGTTCTCCTGTCATTTTTCCTGCTTTACTCAAAAAATATGAGTCAAGTCTAAAACTAGTCCTCCGAATGCTCCCTTCTGCTGCCGGCGTTTCTTACATCTTTTCAGCCGATATTATCATACAACGACATTTCAAGACGGTCAGGCAATTTTCTGGTCGAATTCTGGATGACATTGTCTATCTCCCACATTCTGAACTAATCTCTGCGAAGTCTCCCCGCCCCATGCGCCGTGGCTTTCGAATTATCTCTTGTCGTACATCGGCATACCAACATTCTGTATTGTCATTCCTTGCGCGCTATCGCATGCGTGAAGAGGTAGGAATGCAGAAGCTAAGACTCGAACTGTTGTGGCGGTCAAGGATGAGAGATCAACTTAAACCACGCACAATAAGTTCGTTCCGTCTACTGTCAGAAGTCAGGGAGCTGTGAGGACTAGTTTATTCTGTACACGGGGCAGGCTGCCGTAAGTTGGCTGTTTGCTTGCAACAGAGGAAAGCGTCCGTTCACGGAGAGCGTCAGTCGCGGTGTGTAGTTTACGCGGGTGTGAGTGCCTGAGTCAGCAGGAGAGGGTGACTTTCTGAGTTGTGGTCGTGTGATTGGACAAAGTAGGGGAGGAATGGAGGGCGCATACTCACAAGGCCTCACGGGTATCAAGC